CACACATCTGGAATCTCACCAAAATTATTCTGGCTAATGTCTAAGAGATTTAATTTTCTTAGATGAGACAAACTTTTACCTGTCATTTCTAAGTCACTCAGTGAATTCTGACTTAAATTTAGAGTTCGTAGTAAGGGCCAGCCACCCTGACAGGCTGAATGCTCCAAACTCTGGTCTCCAAGCAGATTTGCACTAAGATCGAGATACTCTAATGACAGAAGATGTCGCGAAAGGCTACACGGTACCAAAAATACCTTGGTGTTTTCAACTGTGACTTTGGTAAGAAGTGATAGTAGACCTTCCACAGCCTGAAGATCTGTAAACAAATAAAATTGTTCTATAGATAATTTCTTTATTGTCAGAACTCTGAGAGTCTGTGATTGATTTGCTTGAATTTGTATTTGCCATTGTCCAGTTCCCAAGAGTGTACAGTCTATCATCCCCACCTCCACTAATTTTGGCATGTCTTCTAAAATGCTGACAATCTCAGGCACAGTAGCATCTGTTAATAAGGCTTGTTTAAAAGAAATTTTCTTTGCAAAAGAAGATGACATGACTCTCAATAGTTGCATTTCAGCAGGTACACTGAATGCTATTTTTCTCACTTCTAGCCAAATGACAGAGTGCAGAAGGTCCCTGACAATTGCTGAGAATACGTTAATTCTTCTTAGGCTTATGATCATGTGATTTATCTTCTTAATTGACTTCAAACTTCCCGGCTCGTACTGACTGAGATTGCCACCATCAATCCACAACTTGTCGAGAAGCTCAATGCCCTCAAAGTTCCCTTGCCTTACCGTGGAGAACTGCGAGTTGCCCAGGTGGAGAGAGCTCAGGTTCCTCAGACTAGAAAAGAGGGAGCTTTCCCCCAGGTCTCTGTAGGAGTTCCCTTGAAGGTGGAGGTGCTGGAGCAAAAAAAGGTGCCCAAACCACGCAGGGGACAAGTGAGCCAAGCTGTTATTTGATAAGTCCAAGAGCTCCAGTTTCCCAAGGGAGCGAAACGAGTCCTCGTCTATTGAGCTGATTTTGTTGGACTGCAGCAGCAGGGCTCTCAGGTTCACAGCCTGCTGCAGATCCTGGGATCGGATGTGCTTGATCCTGTTGTGGGACAGGTTTAACGTTGTGATTTTGCCCGTGAGCCCCGGGGGAATGAAGTCCAAGCCCATGGAAGAGCAGTTGCACAGCTGAGTGTCATCGCACGAAGGACAAGCCTGCTTCAGGGCTTGCTCTGCAGAGACATTTGCAGCTAAGACCATGTAGATGGCCCATGTTCGCCAGGTGTGTGTAGTCATTATTTTGCCTAAAATATGAAATACAGTCAGAGCAAATATGATACAGTATATATACAGTATATATGATTAGTTTTGAAGCAGCTACATTTTGAATATAGCTAAAACATAACCCTTACTGTTCTGTCCTATGGAATGCACTGCATATGTATTAGCTTTTAACGCTGTTCAGAGATGAAACAATTAGTGAAAACAAGGTGCATTGTACATAAACATTCCAGCATCATTTGCTAAATGCTAAGTACACTGAATTCACTCTTCTTTTCCCCATGGTTTCTAATTTTGGAATAAGGACTTAGAAATTCATTAACAGCTGCACAAATCTTTTGCAGATTTAGCTAAACATCTGAATAATCACAACATTATTACTAATCTGATCCTTTGCCTGGTTAGAAAGTAGTCCCCATACATCCCCTCCTTAGGTCTTTTTCTTCCAGATCTGTGACTATTATTTTGTATATTCATATTTTACTATCAGAAGTCTCCTGGATGTGTTTCAAGTCCTGGTTACATCAGGAAGAGTTAGTGTCTTGCAGGAGATGGTGACGTTCATATTTAATACTCATTTCAAGCATAAGTCTAATCTCAGTTCTGACAATAGGGAGAAGAGGGTTGCCTGTGTTTCAGTCCCTTTCCTCATTTTATCTGCCTGTTCTGATTGTAAATGTGCTAGTAGCAGGGAAATAAATATTTGCCTGGGTGTCTGTGTAGGCCATCATTACCATCTTGCGATCAGTCCGATAGTTGCTAATAAAACTTAAGCTGGGAAAACTGACCATTGTGAACTACTGACTCTTAGCTCTTCCTTTTTACTGCCACATCCTTCTCCTCTGCCAGTGGCTTTTTCTGCTTTGGGTCTCTGTGGCAGAGACAAGGTCAGGCTCAGCCATGAGGAAGAGCCAGCAGCTTCTGGAGCTTTCTGCAGATCAGCTGGCTGGATTCGATCAGCTTTTTCCAGCCCCACAGCCTGTTCCTCATCTTCTGGACTGAAATGATTAAAGAGAAGCCACAGAGCTGTGGATCCTGTGTCACTTCTCTCACAGTTGTGCCTTTCATAGTCCTGATTTGACATGGCTTTTTGTGTTACAGAGCTTGCCGCAATATCCAGCCTGCCCTTACTTCCAACAAGGTGACTTTAGTTCTGTCCCTCTGAGGAGTTGGAGAAACAATTATTGAAGACTGAGGGGGCTGTTTTCCCTTCAAAATCCTTATTACATATTGAATTACAACCCTTTTTTTGTTTATCCTTTCTCAACAAGGATCAAAGAGCACTTTAAAAGTATAACTTTCCCCAGCATGTCACAAACTCCCCTACCTCAGTAGGTATCTTACAGAGGGTGAAAAGAGTGAACCAACCCCAAAGAGGTCAATGAACAGGTTCCCAAAGATCATAGTGGGCTCTGTAAGAGGTTAATTGGGTTAGATTGGCTCACTGAGGAGTACTTTCTCCCACTGAGACTGTACTACGACTGATCTACTGTACTGTGAATTCATACTCTAATTTGTTTTATAATAGCTGACCCACACAGACAAGTTCATGCAGACAAGTCCTACCCTTCTAGTTGCATTATTTTAAATTAAATTAAAATTATGCAAAAGAGGAAGAATTAGCTGAGATTGTGTGGGCATATGGGGAGAGGAGGAAAAGTTGTGGATAATTTATTCAATCTTTCCATCGCTTCCCACCTGAAGGACTATAAACATTTTGACCTCTTGTGTTATTTTCCTTCAGTCTCTGTCTCTCTCTGATGTAGAGCTTTGGGTCTTGAAGGACACATTCCTCTCCCCTGACTTTAGATGCCCACAGCTGAGCTGGTCATCCACCATGTTCTCCAGTGTCAATGGAGAGAAATAACAACTTTAAGGGACAATTCACATCATGTCTCTTAGACACTCACATTGAGATGTGATGACTCCAAGAGTAATGACCCCATCAATTTAAAATGGAGCACAACAGTTTAGATACCTAGAGATTGATGCATGTGAATCCCACCCAAATAATTGCGATCTGTAGTCACACTCACCTGTTGTCCAGTTGAGGCTCTCTTATGGGGCTTTTTTGGTCTTGCAAGTGTGGCTGGATAACACAGTGGTGTAGGCCATAGGGGCAAAGCTATGAGTAAGACAAGTTTCACAAGAAACAAATTTAAGTGGGATTTTTAAAGTTGCCATCACAACGCTTACTGTTAGAAAAAAAGCAACCAGGCAATCCGGCTGATCAAAATCTATCCATAGGTAGGTTATTTACAAATGGAAAATCGGCAGCACATAGGGGAACTGGGCAGGTACTGATATTTACACTGGAAATATCAGCTGAGCCTAATGGCTCTCCGCCTTACCAGCCTGAAACCAACCAGGGACTGCAGGACTGAACACCATTTGGTGGTACAGGACACTTTTCTTTATTGTCAATTCCCTGAGCATCTTTTTTTTTTTTTTTTTTTTTCCCCCTCATCTGTAATGTGAGTAGACACTCAGGGAAATCCCATTCCCAACCTCATTCACTTTCAACCATTCTCTTCCCCTTCCTATTCCTGTCTAATAATTCAGCTTAAGACCCCGACTTACAGGGTCGTTTCAGGCCTCACTGTACCCACTCAGAAATAAAGCCCCACTCCACGATATCATTGCCCTACCAAGGAATCACTTTTCCCTGTTGCTCTGGGGAAAGAACAAAAAGCCACGTGGAAATTGAAATGCAGCTAATAATACGGAAACTTGCACAAATGCCCTTATACCATAAGGTGCCATGATGAACTAGACTTTCAAAGTGTTTCTGGGTTATGGACAAAGGGTCCGAGCCATTAGACATGCACAGGATTATCTTCCCTTGCCAAGGCCAGTAGAAGTATTGGAGGAAATATCATAGAATCATAGAATCATCTGGATTGGAAGCGACCTCAAAGACCATCTAGTTCCAACCGCCCTGCCACGGGCAGGGACACCCTCCGCTAGACCAGGTTA